TTGTACATGAAGACAAAAACAGCTGTCCTCTTTGATTGCTTAAAATGAGAAATTATAAGAAGAAGCCAAAAGTCGTGCTCTGCTTCCCTCAAATGCTTTTATCTTTCTTATATAAAAAGGTTGTTAATTGAAAGTTACATACGCACTCTTGTCTGCACAGATTTTCCAATTTTATTAATCTCAAACCAAAGTCCAAGTCCAAGGCCAATCAGCATTTAGCGATTCTTTTCACCTTTCTTAATCAACCTTTTTATGAATATTTGTTACTTACTCTTTTATTGGTATTACTATCAGTCCCATTGTTGCCATATCAAATAGGTTCAGGTCATTGTGTGAGGAGACACACAGGATAGAAAACTTAAATTAGGAATAAAAAATGAATAAATCAGTTCATTTTAATTAAATTTAAACATTTCTGACAGCTACAAAAGGTACAAAAAAGTATTTTCAAGGGCACGTTCCTGCTCAGATTTAAGCCTCTCATGCTCCACTTGTTTTGATGTGCTTTGCAGATTTAGTGCCTGTCACATGTGTCTTAATCTATTAAACGTACCACTTTTCTGGTAAAGGATATGCAGAAGCATCTCGGCCTCTTTGAAAGTGACTATATTTCTGCATGAAAAGCAGCATTCAGATGGAATTTTTTTATGACACAGAGGAGGAAATATTATTATTAAGATAAAGATGTATGCAAATATTCTAATTGTCTAATACTGCATGAACTAGCAGAACGTTAGCTGACATGTTTTTTTTTTCATTTGCTTTAAATAAGTATATATCTGATATCCACCTGGAGTCATGACAGCATTATTACACTTTTGATGATTAGGAAAAGTTTCTTGTAACTTGAAGAATAACAGTTAAATAGCATTTAACTGATCATTCAGTAGCCTCATTTAAAGTGCTTGTGTGTTCCTCAATAAACTTACTCTTTTTAAAAAGCACAGTGCTTTATATCACTACTTTACACCTATTTGATAGATTTGGATTAAACTTTTTCTTTTTTAGTTTGTTTGTTGGAGCGGACACAACATACAAATACGTTTTCCTGGGGAAGAAAGACACTAGCGTGCAATCTATTGTCATGATACTGATGGCCAACAGTAATCCCACCCAATAAAGGTTAACAATTTACAAGATGCTCTATGTTTGAAAAATACAAGTTAATCTTATAATGACAAATAAAAGCTTTATGGATCTGAGTTTCATGCAATTCAGTTTTGGTGACTTTTAAAAGTTATCTCGGTTATTTCTGTGATAGAAACCCTCCTTTACCATCTCTTTAAATATTTGATAGCACTTCAGTGGAGACAAGACAAGAGTATGCTTGTCTAATCCACAAGTCCAAGTTGGACTCAATTCTTATGTGTTAGTTGAAGACACCAATAAATATAGCATGTACCAGCACGCACGCACACAAATGATCACACAAACATGGCACACAGATGTCTCTGTTCATCCAGCTGTGTCCTCACTAAAGAAAATACTCTCGCTGAATTCAAGCGTTTTATTTCTCGATGGTTGAAAAGAAGCCTGGTCTGGCTGACCTAAATACGCAAACACAACTGTTGCTCTGTGTCTCCTCACACAGCAACCTGGACCTATTTGTTCAGTCGCAGTTATTTTTAGGGTAAAAAAAGCCCATTGACCTCCTTTTATTTACTGGAATGTTCATTACCGGTCAGGTATGGCTTCAGTTTGCCTGTGTACAATATATTTATGTTGATGTGTGAGTAAATACTTTTTAGCTACACTACACCATGACTCACAGCAAAACAACTGGGAATGTGCCCAGGATTAATATATAAACACTATGAAGCTCTAGAAGGAGGTGCGTGACATTTCGTCAAATTATTTGCTCTTAGTTGCTCTTCATTACCGTGTCCTGATATCCTCCTTAATAATATTCTAGCACTAAGCTTTAAATACAACTCTTCTCCAATTTCTTATTCTTCTTCCTATCACAAAAAAATGTTGTTTTAGTCACAGAGGGCAGCAGTTCACTGGTATTTTGCCCCATTTACAACCTATAGCTTTGCTTTTAATTAGTTTTTAATAGAAAAAGAGACAAAAGATGAACGGATCAAGCAAAGCTGTGCAATTCTTTTAGATGATGCTAGCGAATCTTGTGCAACTCTGAAAAATTATAAAACTGTAACGATTAATTTTGAAGGATTTTTAAAAAAAAAGATTTTCTCCTGTAATTGTCGTTGCCTTGAATACAGCAGTTATGATTTACACTATTATCAAAACATGATCAATTAAAATGAGAAGAAGGATTTTATTTCTTTTATATATTCTTAACCTTCATGAGACTGCACTACAACAAATTAAGAAGATGCTGGCTAGAAAATAACTGCAATGGAAAAAGAATAAAACCTGGACACCTCTCAGCTCAGCAGTGTCACCAAAGTTTCAGATGATGAATTAGCTGTTTGCAATGGGGATATGTATGTATGTGGACATTTTCATCTTTTTTTCTTTTCCAGCTTTACCTCGTCTCTATTTTTTGACATTTGGGTATTCTTAGGATTCCTGGTTTTGACATTTCCATGGTTTTTTTTCCTGCAAAGTCAGAGAGCTCATATTAACAGATGGATGGAAAGTGTCTGATTCTACTGTCAGATGCATGAGCAGGCACATCTGGCAGCAATAATCACACTCAAATTCAGCAGTCAGTTAAATAAGGCATCTTTCTCACATTGCAATTTCATTCTTTTTTTCCTTTATTTCATATGCAACCGTCTGTCTGGAAAAGCGAGCTGTTTGTCTACAATAAACCTTAAAATTTGGCAGACTGGATGTGCGATCTTTACACGCCGCTGGCTTGCAGAGAGCACGAGCACGTCTCTGGACAACATGGAGTGACTGTGTTTGTCTTGGGGTCAAGAGTCAGAGTGTTTGTTGTGGTGTAAGTTTGAGGAGACTGTTTAGTCTTGTAGAGAGCAACGTTGGGAGTCTGGCACATAGATCCCGTGGTAAAACATGATGGTTTGGCAGAAGCTCAGCACAGTCAGAGACATCAATATGTTAGTCAGAGGTGTGAGCCTGTGAGTGGGTGATGGTTTGTGTGTATTTTTATGTGTGGCTTTTGTGTTCAAATGTGTTTGTTGGTGCATTTGTGTGTTTAAAAAAGTGGCCTGAGACATAACTGTGTCATATGGTTTGCGGATTCACAGACAGCCGTTATATTACTGAATATATAATAATAAAAGAAAGAATTTTATTCAGCTGAATAGTTATTTGCGCATGTTCTGATGTAGCAGTGCCTTCATATTTATTATGATGTAATGAAACATCATATGATAATCAGATGAAATCTTGAAGCTTAGGATGCGATTCCAGTGAATGAAAACATCACGTAAGCGATTAACAGACACCTCATACAGAAGTAAGAGAGTTCTGGTTCATCAACACATCATCCCAATAATCTAAACATAGTGAGAAAACAGTTAATGGCTTTCTGTTTTGGCTGGACCCCTCGGCAGGTGTCAGGAATAATCCTGATGGATGGAAAACGGAAACATCTGAGATGATTATCGGTGCCAGAAGTGTTGGAGGAACGCAAGGCGTTGCGTGTGGAATGCACAACCCATAATCCACATGAATCATGGAGCTGTAATCGCAGTTGTTGCTGTTACACAATAAGCTGTACTTGACTGTAAAGAATGCCAGGGAATAGGAAGGAATCTGTGTTAAGCGTGTAAGTTTGAAGACATGACAAGATTATAAAGTACCTATCAGTGTTGCCAGACTGAATCGCCAGAGATTCTTGGTGAAGGGTGAAAAGGGAAAAATAAACTTTAAAGAAAGGTGGAGAAAAGTGGTGATAACAACAGAAATGCTGTGAGGAATGAGATAAAGAGAGGAAAAAAAGTTGGGGATCTGATGAGAAAAGAGGGGAGGAGAATAAGAATTAGGAAGCTGGCGAGAAAGGAGCAGGATGCAACAAGAGAGTTGGAAAAAGAGAAGAGGGGATAAAAGGAGGGTGGAGCTGATGGTAGGAGGAGGTGTGATAACGTAAGAGGAGAAGACTGAAAAAAAAAGGTGGGAAAAGAAAACAATGAAAAGAAACAAGAGGAAAATGATGAGTGGCGAGAATACACCATAGGGAGGATCAGGACTTGGAAGCGGAGTAACTGATGGGAAGGTCTTTTGGGGGAAACCCGAAAAAATAGAAAAAATGGACAGAATGAAAGCATGAAGAAAAGAGACAAGAAGAGGAGAATGTTGCCTTTGATACAGGGGTGCTGAGGGGTAATTTCTGTGTGTGTGTGTGTGTGTGTGTGTGTGTGTGTGTGTGTGTGTGTGTGTGTCTGTGAGTGTGTGTGTTGTCTGTGTGTCTGTGGTACAATTAGGGGACCTGACAGGACTTACAATTGAGACTCTGTTAGTATGCAGGTAGTGTTGGGGCCACCCTGCAATATCCCTACATGGCCCCAGGCAACCGACTACACACACACACACACACACACACACACACACACAACAACACACACACACACACACACACAAAAGCACACACACACACAAAAGCACACACACACACACACACACAGACACTTCTAAACAAGATATAAACAAGATATACTTCAGTGTGGTTGTGCTTTAGTTTACGCTTCACTCTAGTTACTTCCTGTTATTTCCTAGAGTGAAGTCAAATTTGCCTGCTTTTCCCTAATTAAATCTTCAAGAAGTCTGTCTCTCCCATAGAACAAATTCTTGGAGATGGTTTAAACACTCTTTGTGCTTGTTGCAACTCCCTACAAATAGAGCCCAACCAACTAAAGACAAATTGTATGTACCCATCCTTTTTTCTATTAATGTCACCCCAAAGATGTTATTAATGGGATTTCTGAGAGGGATTGTTTTGTGTTGCTCCTTGAGAAACTCTTGCTAGTTTTTGAGGTACTGTGAAAGACTGGGAACCGCATGAGAGCTTGGTGTCATGAGCAGTAGGTTAAAAGTAGAGTTGAAAGTCAGACAAACTTTGAAGTGGAGGACAGGGTGTTCCAAAGTTTGGAAAAAGGTTTAAAATATGCCAGCAGTTATAAAGAAACTTATACTTATGTAAAAAAAAGAAAAAGAAGAAGAAGCAGTTATAGCATCCAATAAACTGGTTAACAGACAGTAGGTCAGTTGATCAATGTGATTTTTTTTTACATAACTTATCAGGATTTTGAAAATAAAGCACATGAGGAAATGCCAGTGAAAAATTAAAAGTGGATTTTGTTTGCTTCATTCATGTGGTTCTAAGATAAGATTTCAAATCATCAGTTTCTTTTGTTTAAAAAAAGATCTGAGGAATGTGGAAAACAAAAAGCATTCTCATTGGAGTATGCCCAAAAAACCTCCCATGAGTATCAAACTCATAAACCCGACAAAGGGCTGTAACAGCTACTTATTTTAAAAAGGTTAAGTCAAAGTAATTTAATTGTTCTCAGGAGCAGATGCTAAGTGGTGGCATGCAGTGACAAGACAGAAGATAATAAGTAGTAAGATGTAACTGCAAGCCTGCTAATTTGCAGGAGTTTTAGGAATGAGAGTTTGTAAAGGGCTTGTGTTAGCCAAACAACGGCTGAGTGATTGAGGGTAGGCTATGCTTAGGTTTGGACATTTTGTATAAATGAAAAATGTTCAAGGTGCTTTCAGCCAGAGAAGAAAACTTATTTTCAGTCATGGCTCTTTGGTTAGAACTACATGAAACATTGTCATGACCTTCATGAGTTGTTTTGTACTCGTTAAATTTCCTCCCAGTCTTTTTTATATTAACTGATCACTTGAGATTTTGTATTAATTTTTCTGCCTCAGCTGAGCAGGATCTGAACACCTCTTATGAACATCCAGCCAGTTTGCAGTGTTATCAACTTTGAATTGCTACTCTTGCTAATTTCATGCCCAGGTACGCCAGAGTCGCTGGAAGAGAAGGAGCGCCAGCTTTCCACCATGATCGGTCAGTTGATCAGCCTGAGGGAGCAGCTTCTTGCCGCCCATGATGAGCAAAAAAAGATGGCCGCCTCGCAGCTGGAGAAGCAGAGACAACAGATGGAGCTGGCCAGGCAGCAGCAGGAGCAGGTAGGAAGGGTCCTTGGATGTGTTTGGGGCTGTACAATGAGAGTTGGGTAAAAAGAAAGAAGAAAAAGACATCAATGTTAATAGTGTACATGTGTTGGTCTATGTGCAGGATAATGAATAGGGTTTGGTGATATGAATCGCATATAGTTCATTCCTGTGTGTTTATGCAGGGGTGCATCTAGAAGGGGGGTGGGGGTGGAGTTTCACCAGGGCCCCAGAACACTTACTCAAGTATTCTAATGTACTTAAGTATTTCCACATACTTAATGCACTTTGTAGTAAGCAATATATAATTAATTAAAATGATCCACAGCTGGAACATCAAAGAGATGTGTCTCTTTAATGTCCCCCCACCCCATTTTTAAAAAAAAAGAAATTGGATACAGCCCTGGTTGTGCATACATCATATTTAGAAGCAAACTAATGACTAAATGAAAAATATCAATCAATAAATAAAGACATACATAAATAAATACAAAATTGAGTATATGATTGGCAGGGCTTTAAACTGTCAACAGTTCATTTTTAATATTCTGTAATTCCTTTTTGTTGATTCCTTTCAGGTATTATATTATTTTGTTCATTCAACTAAATACTGAAATTTGAGGTTATCATTATTAAAAATAACAGAAAATTAGTCCAACAGGGCAAACAGCACATATAAATAAATACAAATGTTAAACTTTACCAGGTTACATTAACCCATAGCAACTATTGGATACACTTCAAATTACAGAGGTTAGAAAGCCAACAGGACTTAACACAAAGCATTGTCTTCTTGTGAATGCCTTCCTCTTAAACTGTTTGATCTATTGAATGTGAAGGTCCTAAACCTATGAAAGTGTACAATATCCGACACAAAACCCCCTGATATTTAATAATTTTCCAGTAACAAGTTAGTAATTTTTTGCTGTAATTCCTCGAATTCCAAAGCTTTTCTTTTTTCCAAAGTCGCATTGTAAAAATGTTATCATAACTGACATAATGGCCACAAAGGAGACCCAACTTGTAAAGGAAAAACAAAATGTCCCTAACAAAACGCGTGTAGGTGTATCTGTATGTCTTTTGACTGCACCTTCAAAAGTTGTAACAAAAGCGTCTCTTAGGGTGCCAGACGGCGATTTAAAAAAAAAAAAAAACGAAAACATTGTGTGACAGAGAAAGAAAGCGAGAGCCTACGCAGAGAAGTGTTTAGGTGAGCTGCTCTTTGTTTTTACTGTTTGCCGACACGTTACTGTAGGTTGGCATATGACAGGCTCTGTTTGGACAAGTCCACACCTCCCATCACAACACATTCCACCTTTCACAGCTTTACAAAGGAAACAGGCAAAGTGGAGAGCGCGAAGAGAAAGACAGATTCCAATATCAGCCAGTCATTTGGCTGTTGAGACTTGATAGGATAATGCCCTACAGACAAACCCGAGAAATCTGCCTTTAATGAAATATGACATGTGTGCAAATGGGGCGCCGCCTCCCATTCAGCAGCCTGTAATTACATTTCGGAATAAATATACTAAACGACTTCTCAAGGAAAAAAAAAGAGGGGCAGCTGTTTTACTTTTCTGGTTCAGAATAGGCGGGATCACGTCGAGGACGTACTGTCCCTTTTAGGACTTTAACCTCTCACGAGTGGCCGCTCCCAGATGTCAATCACTAGATGATGCTTGGCCTTTTAACATCTGACATTGAATGTTTTTCATTAGAGAATTTTACATCAAAACAACAACAGAGAAAATGATCACCCCTCCTGTTTATGTGTGTGTGTGTGTGTGTGTGTGTGGGAGGGGGGAGGCTTCCACAGGCACATTGGGTGTTGTTGGCTGATGTAGTAAACATGCCAATCTCACAGATTCAGTGTCAGTTAAGAGAATTGTTCATAAACCTTCTGCACTGCTAATTGCTTGGATTGGATGCACCATCCATCACACCAGCCGAGGCTTTTTAGAGATAATAATCTGAGGTCAAACTGACACATAACTCAGAGTCTCTCTACCTGTTTTTGATTTACTGTACTGCATTTGAGACATGATTGACCTCACTGAGAGTTTTCAAGAGCAAATCACTTTGTCTGCCACCTGTCGAGGACAGATATATCCTCATCATCATCTTGAGTACCAGATGACAATTTTGCCTTTTAGTATTGTAAGGCACTTACCTTAAAATGTAAAATGGCACGAGAAGACGGTGTAAATCAACATGATATAATATAAAAGGGAAGAGATTTGGATTCATTTTTCATCATCATCATCTTGAACCCTTGTATTTTTTTATTTTTTACTTCCATGACTTCTAAGAGCACCATACCATTTCTGACAAGCCATTTATGGACATTTTCCTGTATTGCTTTTCTTTTATTTCCAATTAAAACACACACACACACACACCACACACACACACACACACACACACACACACACACACACACACACACACACACACACACACACACCCTGTATGCATACTGTTTGTTCTGTAATATTTTAGAAACATGAACACGGTACAGAAATACAGATTATCCTTCTTCTCTTATCATCATTTCACTTTAGCTCTGTGTGTGTGTGTGTGTGTGTGTGTGTGTGTGTGTGCAGATTGCCAGACAGCAGCAGCAGCTGTTGCAGCAGCAGCACAAGATAAACATTCTTCAGCAACAGATCCAGGTTAGTAGCCAAACACACTTTAAACATCTACGTATATACAACCAGACACACACACTTCCTTTTTTCAGTCTTGACCTTTCTTTGCGTTTACTCCTCCTGCCCTCTGCAGACTCCTCTTGTTTTGTTTCTTGTCCATCTCTGTGAGGATGCCAAGAACTTCTTATCTTTTGTCCTTTGTGCAGATGATCTAATTAATGTCTGTCCAAGCAGTTCCGTGATCATCTTATCATGTGGAATTGGAAAACGGAAATAATACAAGAGGTCATGGCCTTAACAGCAGGCAGAGCACAAAAGTAAAGAAAGCAGCACCAAAAGCCTTCAGACACACACATAAAACACACAGTGGTGACTCAGTGATTGCCCTGGTTATAGCTGGATCATTCACTGTTGCATTGATTACTCAACAATTGATACCCAAAGGTGCTCAAGGCTTATCCTCTTCCTCTTTTCTCTTTCTCTGCAGCATTTCCTGATAACTGTAACGTTTTTTAACCATTAAGCACATAAATGGATAAACATCTGTGGAGCGTGTACAGAAACCTGCAGGGAGATGTGTGAACTCACTTTTCTGGCTTCTGCTTCTTGTTCAGTTTTTCAGTTTTCTCCTTCTCCTCTTATTCCTACATCTGTTTCAGTGAGCCATCTGATGCACTGAGATTTGTGAAGTGTTCACTGTTTACCTACATACCCACCAAGAAATTACCACCAGCTGTGCACCAAATGCTGATCAATTTGCTCAGCATGGCTGACTGTCACATGGGAATTTAACAGGTTTATTTTTTTTAAGTGGTTGGCTCACAATCTGAATCCTCTGCCATCCGTCCATCCCGTGCTACTTTTGACCCCCTGTTGGTCCCAAGCTTTGGATCTCCCTACTCTCCTGAGGTGTGATATAGTTAATGAGGGCTTACTTTCCCCCCTGCTCGTCTTCTTCTTCATCTTTTTATTATGAGGCCTCACCCTTGGATCTTAATAAAGCTCGGATTGGACTTCATTAGCCTTCTTAGCCCCAAGGGAGAGTGAGACCATAAAAAACAGCTCCTGCTCTGATCCTGTTCCACACTGTGAAGCATGGACACTGTGTCATGTTTGTCTTTTTTTTTAGAATGAAGAGATATGCAGAAGATGGCTCTTGAGAGCAGAGTGTTATCATGTGGAGCTTTGCAACCATCTGTTGTAAAGGGCATAATGTGTATTTCACTTTTATTTTCTTTGTTGAATTGAATTTGAAAAGGCCAGAATTACTGCAATCTGCTGTTTCATAAATATACAAAAATGAATGCAACAAAAAAACATTTGTTTTCACTGAAAAAATTGTGCTGCATTTTATTGTTATTTAAGTTATCTTTAAGGCAATAGCATTTGTCAGCAAACAAACCAAGCGCAGAAAGCAGCACATGGTGCATCTACTGTACAGAGAGTTAGAATTATTATGGCTAAGCTCCAGGGTTTAGTCACTGGGGTACGGGCTGTTTACGCTGTGTCGGATGTGTGTTGGCCTTAAACACACAGGCGGCGGTGCACTGGTCTGTTTCCACTTATCAAATCCAGACCTGAGCTCCTCTCAGGCCAATACTCTGAGGAGCTGACCAAATGCTACTGTTTCAGCTGAAAGAATAGGGCTCAGTGTGGTAAAACCACTTTTTAGAAGTGCCAGTTGTTGTTCATATCTTAATTTGAAACACTAGATGCCGTCCAGATGGAAAAAATAAGGAACCTAAACAAAGTTTCTGCTAGAAAAGTGCAAAAGTTGAAACTGCATGGGGTTTACTTTCAAACAGCTTATGCTATCTATTGCTTCATCCAACCAACCATCAGTCATTAATTAGCATTTATTTTTTGGACGCCTAATAGATTCTGAAAGTTTTATAGATCAGCGCTGACTTGTGAAAAACTGTGACTTATGTGTATCTGGTTTCTGAATGGAAGACAATGAAAAGTCAGTGGGAGCTGTTTTCCACTGCTTTTTTTCCCTCTTCCATTTCTGCAACTTGTTGTTGCTTCTCTGGCTTCTGTTTCAGGATGGTGTCAGTGTGTTTGTCAGCTAGTGTGGTGGGGGAGCATAGTTCAAAGTGACCCAGGTTTCCTGTCATGTGGTTTTAAATGGTGTGGAGGGCCAGCGGGGGATGTCCACGGGTTAAAGAAACGTTTCCGAAGGCCCCATTCTGATATGGTTGCACACGCCGAGTCATGTACATATCCACAAGTATGAAGAAATATGTTACACAGCAGATGTTATTAGATAAAATGCCTGCACGTGCATAACAACTCACACATGGTACTTATGCAATAACAATATTATAGCCATTTGATATCAAATTATCTACATTAGGACATACACAGTCAAACATACATACATGTGCACATACACACATGTGCAAAAACTCACACACGCACACACACTCACATGTGCGCGTGCTCACACCAACACACAAACACAGACACACAAACAGTGGTGGCGGGCTCTTTGTGTGCCGTGGGCAGAGTGGCCCAGCCCAGCCTGGTGGCTGACAGGCATGTGTCTTTGTTAAGTCGGTTCCTATAATGGCTCTCATATGTGGCCCATTTCCTTCAGGCCCACAAAGGCACAGGCCCTAACCGCACCGCCTGGGCCCTAGCTAACGGGCTAATTAATGACTGCAAAGCCGCACTACTCCTCCTCCTCCTCCCTCTCTCTCTGTTCTTCATTTATAACTCTTGTCTCCTCCTTCGCCTCCCCTCCTCCTCCTTCTCTTTCTTTGAGATCTTGTCTCCGAGTGTTGCTTTCTTATTGTTTTTGCTTCATATTTTCAACTCTGTTCTATCCTGTGCCGTGATTTCTGTGTGCTGCCCTCTGCTGAAATGTGGCTTCTATTTACACAGTGATGAACTACAAGCTACGATATGGTTTTGATCGCCGTTCATAATTTAGGATTTTGACACAGTACTGGCAGTCTGTGACAGCTAAATAAGTTTCAGATGTAATTATTTATGCATCACAATAGATTTGATCTTCCCCTCTCTACATTCATCACTGCTGCTCTTAATCACCTAAAGCTTTTCCCTTGTCGATAAAGTGCTGATGTAAGGTGAGATCGCAAATAGCCAGGGTGTTAAACCTGCCTTAACACAAACAGGCACAAACACAATAATCCACACACTCACACACATGCATAAGAACTAATGGAGCAAGGAAATGGCTTAGATAGACAGGCAGCTCCTACATCAGCAAATACAGCTTCAGACACAATGACTCGGAAAGCCATGGAAAGCCCATAACGTCGATTGGACTCACCAGCTATGGAAAATGCCTAATTCCCGATTTTACAGTGGCCCTCCCTCCAATCTATTAACCTGTGTGTTCGCCTAAATAAAAATCCTATAAGCAGCATACAGTAATTCTGTGTCCTTTAATTATAGTGTGTTTTCATTATGCTCACGTGGGTGTAACAAGATAGTGAAAGAAAAAAAATCTGCTCTCGTGGTGATTTTGGCTTGGAGGCCAAACTGTGTTAGCCCCACTTCTGCATTTATCACGTGATACACCCTGTCTCAAAAAGGCAGTTTATGGACAGCTTTAAAACTGTTGTGTATACCCTAACTTTTTTAAGCATGCACAACAACCAGGTGGTAATGAAAAGACCTTGGAAAACTCTATCATGCGGTGGCCCTGAGAGGCCAAACGGACTGCAACTTAAGAAAACACCAGCAATAAGAAAAAGGCTGCAAAAGCACACAAAACACAATGGAAATAGGAAAAAACAGATTTCCAAAAGCACAAGGGAAGTGTTTCTGGGGAGACAATAACCCGACGGACCAGTTGCAGGAACCCAAAACATGGTAGGTGTGTTTTATCATGATTCATATAATACTGATGACGGATTTTTAGGCTAATAGTTAGGTTAACATACTTACCGCTCATCTGTTCTTTCCTCACAAAACCGATAGATCCTCCACTTCTTTTAAGTGTCTCCCAGCGCAATTCTTAGCATGATTCCTGCAACTGGTCCGTCGGGTTATTGTCTCCCCAGAAACACTTCCCTTGTGCTTTTGGAAATCTGTTTTTTCCTATTTCTGTTCTCGTTTTTTCCTATTTGGGTTGTGTTTTGTGTGCTTTTGCAGCGTTTTTCTTATTGCTGGTGTTTTCTTAAATTGCAGTCCGTTTGGCCTCTCAGGGCCACCGTAGATCTTAGCTACTGATCAGCTTTCATTTTAAGGAGTGATGCACCACGTTGTGATCTGATATTTGGTCCTTTGTAATACACCATTAACTCCTCAAGTATCTATAGCTAACAAATCATCAACAAAATTGCTACTTTTCGTAATATATAAATCATAATCTATAATCTTAACTTGAGTTTGTATATCAGCTGGATAATCCAAATGAAGCACAACATTGTCCAAAACCAGCTATAGCCACTGATGAGCTTCACATTTGGTTAGCTCTCAGTTATGTTAGTGAAACTTTTGTTACACTAAATCATTTGATTAAAACTGATTTGATTAAAGCAGTATAAATCGGGATTTTTAAAGTCCAGCCTTTACCCCCACAGTTATCTGTCCTATACCGACACAGAAGTGAATTAGCCAGAACCACAGTGTAACACTGTTAGTTGGTTGAAAACGGAGCTATTAGAAATATTCGACATAGTCACTAACTACTTGCTTTCATAGTAAATATACCTATAACCTATTCAGCTGGTGCAACACGTTCAGATGTTACAGGAAAATTAGGTTAGGAGCTTGTCCATGAGAATATATAGTAGTGCCCAGAATTAGACCCAAGTCTGGTTAGGGTGCTTTCACTTTACTGTGGTCCTGCTCTCTGAAGGGAGCTGTGTGCTGATTTGAGGTCCATCACAACTGTTTCCACATTCTAAATCAAACTCAAAAACTTTCCTATTCTTCGAGGCCTATGGTTAATTACTGTGTGCGTGTGTGTTTGTGTGTGTGTGTACATGTGCTGTAGCACTTGCTTCTTGTAGAGTTTGTTATATGTGTGGTTATGTGTTTCAGCGAGTATTTTTCCCCCAGTTTTTTTATAGTTTTATTCTCTGTGTAAGCTATTTTGCATTTCTGAAGCCATATTTGCTGGCTGTAACTAAGTGTTGTCTTTCTTTAAGCATGCCTTTTTGATAAGTCGATCCTCTTTTAATTTAATTTGTAGGCAGTTGTTGGCAGTCCTGGAATAGCAGCTTTTGTTGCAGGAAATTTTCCCAAATGATGCCAGAAATTACAGTAATTGCAGTAACCTGCAGTTATTGTATTATGCAGTAACATCAGTGTGCAATTTTCTACACATTAAGCCTGTTTTGGGGATGCACTGGACAGTGGTGGAAATATTTTTGCAATATTTATAAGGTAAGATTAAATATTGACAGAACGGTAGTGAGATGATGTGCAGTATGTTAAACCTAAGTTTAAAAATAACAATAAAAACATATTGATTTGGCTCTTCCTTGTTCATTTTAAAGTTGACTCAAAGAGCAACATCACCAAAATCTTCAGGACTTAATGTTTTTCAGTTGGTTACATACTTTACATGCATACTTTGCAGCAGTGGATGATGCTGTGAATGTCAAGTTTAGTGTCGCACTGGTTCAAATCCACTTGTGCATACCTGCTGCAATCAGGCAACTATGTTTCTTTGTCTTCTCTGTTTCTCAAACAGATCAGCGTACAGACAGACCACATACATACTCACTGCCCCCTAACCTTGCTGCCCTTACACAAGAGGACCATTAATTCTGTGTGTGTCTGCGTGTGTACACATGTTCCTTGTTGCCTAGGTGTGTATGTCGATGTGTCTGGTGGGCAGTTAGAGGAAGGGGACCTCGTGTTTTCTTAGTGGCTGAGCAGAGGGGGGCCCCTGCAGCACCACCTTCCCCAGTCCATTCATCCAACCCCCCCCCCCCTCCCCTTGGTAAAAGGAGATCTTTGTGTGTTTGCGCTAGTGAAGCAGCCCCAGTCAGTCCCAGTGTTCCCAGAGGAATACAATGAATGGGGGCATTTTGTCCCACTCTATAACCTACACCCCCCAACTTCACTCTTTTCCTTCTTTTTTTAGCCATTCGGACACACAGACTTGTTTTTCTTCTCTCTTCATTCTCTTTTGTCTGTGTCACAAGACGTCGGCCCTCTTGTCTGCCTGCATGTGTTTATAGGAATGCCTCAAAAGTACACTGACCTACAAGTGTGTTTGCTTGTGTGTGTGATGACTGCCTCCTGAGATATCAGGCTTTTTATCTGTGTGACCTATCAGTGCTGTCAGAGGAGCTGCTCAGGTGGCACTTGTAGCTCCACACATACCAGACCAAGCATGCAAGCTGGTGGCTCATGCTCTGTTTTGGCAGGGCTATGTGTGGAGACACACACATTTGAGCATTTTTATCTTCATTATACAGTGTAGTGGTGAAGATAGACAGGACAGTGATGAGAGAAGGGGAAAACACACAGAAAAGGGCCACGGGTCAGACTTGAACCAGGGCTGCTGCACTACGGCTCTGTTCCATGTAGTTGTCTGAAGTGGTGCGCAGAAGCCTGCTCTTAAACCAATTATATACTTTTAAACCAACTGGTGATTCTAAATTGACCGTAGGTGAAAATGTGAGTGCAAATTGTTGCCTGTCTGTCTGTCTGTCTGTGTTAGCCCTGCGACAGACTGGTGACCGGTCCGAAGTCTAGCTTGCATCTTTTCCTGTGGCACTTGAGTCGCCCATGTGACTCTGAATTGGATAAGGGGAAGAGGATGGATGGAATGGACAAAGCAGTGTATTTCTATTTGGTTTACTCAATAGCCCAAAGCCAGTTGATATCCAATTAACAATGATAAAAAAGAGTTTTGAACTCTTCTCAGAAAATTCTCATGAATTCTGAGAGCATTTCTGAGGAGCAAAATGCTCTTCAGCATTAATCAGGTATATATAAAAAAAATCTGTCCATGTACTTCCTGTTGATCAATTAATCGCCTGAGCAAACACAGTAAGTTCAGAAATAATTCTTTCCTTCTCTTTCTATTTAATTATGCTCTTTGAACCTTTCTACCTCAAGCCTTTCAATCCATCCACACACTAACCACGAACAGCGCGTAAGACGGTCATCTTATTCAACTAATTCAGCAAGGCAGTCCCGCTGCACATATGCACAGTAATCATGCAACATGCTGCTTGTGTATGCTTGAGCTCCAGCGATGAACCTTCCCTGGGAGGTCAGTGGGAGGGGAGAGGGCAGCGTTGTCAATGAATTGGTAGTAAAGGAGACGAATGGAGGTAGATGGCATTGAAGTGAGGAGGGAAATGGAAGGAGGAGGGAAGTGTCTAAAAACATTTATCTGAAAGCGTAACATAGTCACAAAAGAAAAGTTGAAAACAGGATAAAGCCAGAATAATGAAGAGCAGACATGAAATGACAAGAAACTTTGAGATTTTTTTCCCTCACAAGTTGATTAATTGAGGAATCAATCACAGAGAAGAAAATATAGTAATATTAATAGTAAAGTTAGTTATTATCAGACATTTATTTGATTGACTTTGATTTTTGACCTCCCTAATATGGACTTTTTGGCTTTTTGACATTGCCTTCTTTTCTTCCTTTCTCCTTTTCAAGGGTTTTTGTTTTTATTATTTTTTTTAAACTTGAAACATTAGTTATCCAGTAACTTCTAGAGCTCTATTAATGATATAAAGAGAGAAATTATATTTCTTAATAAGCCATTTGAACAAACAATCCTTGGGGGCATTTTTTTAAGAAAAAGAAGAGGCAACCAGAGAAAAAAAATGCAAAAAGAGAAAAGACTGCGATAAAGGGAAGAGATAGAAGGAAAGAAAGTGGGGTCGTCCGGTGGTTTAACACAGTCAGCCCAAATAGATTCCCGCAGGCTCATCTTTGATTTGTTTCTTTTCAGTTCAAGCCCTCGGCATCTTGACTTAGTCAAACCCACAGATTTTAAGAGCCTTTCAAGCTGACATGAAAGGCAGCTGTTAACCTCTCTCTTGTTTTAAAGGCCTTTTCTTGGCATCTTTACACTTGTCTCTTAAGAGTATACGTCTTAATTTGTTGTTTGGCTTCTGTTCTTCAACTCGATGCACCAGTTGATCATGTCATTGCCTGCATTGTTTTTCCCTTCTCCCTGTCTTCCCCTTCCTTTCATCCTGATCTTTATCGTTCCTCACTTTAACCTTCCTTTGTGATGTTTCATTTTAAATCATTCTTTCTTTCTCTCTGCTGACTTTCTGTTTTATTTTATTGCTTTTGTTTCTACCTCTTTACCTTGTTTATTTGCGATTTTCTCGTTTCTCATCTGCCTTTTCTATCATTGCTCATGATTTTTATTCTTCTTTAAAAATCTTTGAGTTTTTTGGTAAATCTTGGAGCTTTTTTTTGCTGTTGTTGTCTGTGAATCTGTGTCTGTGTGTCAGTATTATTTAATGGATACAGCAGTTGGCAGATATCTCTCATCTCTTGTCTCTCTCTCCCAGGTCCAGGGTCATATGCCTCCTCTGATGATACCAGTGTTTCCTCACGACCAGCGGTCTCTGGCTGCAGCTGCCGCAGCACAGCAAGGCTTCCTTTTCCCACCAGGCATGTCCTATAAGCCAGGTATAACCCCACCCCACCCCCACCACAAACACACACACACGCAGTGGAATCCCAGTCTATGTTAATGAAAATGTGTCAGGTGAGGAATGTTCTGAAAATTAGCGCAGAGATCCAATGTATTGCAACATGGAATTTCACGCTTTGCCTCTCTGTCTCTTTCTCCCAAGAGTTTTCACCTTTTGCACACCAACCCAACAATATAGACATAAGGGCGACGCACTCAGAAAAATCACGTACGTTGCACTTAAATAAGGGCATGCATACTGCATGTTTCGGCAGACCGTAAGGATTTTGCACAAACAGGCTCAAGAAAAAAACACTTAAAGTCGCCCACAGAAAGAAATGCACCGCACTTCATTGGATTGTCTGCACCACCTGCTTTCATCAAGTCTTTTGCACATTCCTTTCTTGCAAACATCCCTCCAGGTGCTTGCCTGACACAGTACAGCACTGACCCGTCATACGAATATTACTCCTACTGCATGAGCATTCACTCCCGTGAGGCCGCAAAGAGAGGCAGAAATGAAGAAAGGGATTAAAAAGCTACTATTGTATACTCTCCTTTGACATTGGTCTGTTTTCAACAAAGGCTTGGACATGGAAAGCCTTTTAAGGACAAACAGTAGGGGTTATACACATACTCATATATGAATTTATGAGTGCATCACAATGAGGAAGCTCTGGACTTGAACTCTGCTCGCTCTGGTCTCAAGCACTTGAGTGTGCCGACAGCAAGCGTTAATAACCTTTGAATAAAATTTCTGTGACCCTTCATGGTTCATTTGGCATGAATAAAAACATGAGAAGAGTAAGGAAGGAGACAAAGAGCGAGACAGAGCGAAAGAGACAGAGAGGCCTGACTGAAGGTAAAGAGCAGGTTAGTTCTTGTGCAGTACACCCCCCACGACCTCGCTCTACAATATGTGTTGTTTTGGTTATTCAACAGGTGAGAATTACCCAATGCAGTTCATTCCATCTGCAATGGCAGCTGCAGCAGCGTCTGGACTCAGCCCGTTACAACTACAGGTAAGACACAAACTAATTTATCAAAACAAACAAGCAAAAATGTGTGTGTGTGATTTAATACTACTTGGACTATAGAGAGATATTTTTCCTCTAAATTAAAACTGTGTAAAACACGTGAGTAATGGCTTACCAGAACAAAATGATCACATACTTGAAACAAGACCAGAAACAGGCTGTCTGACAATGAAGTGATGAAAGGTGAGGGTGTGGAAGTTGGTGGGTGTGACTGTTTTTCTGTAAGATATGCTTCATTTTCACCTGGATTCAGTTAATAATAGTATTATTATGTGAAACCTCCCGCACACTTGGCGATGACTCAAACATCTTATTGCCTTTGTTGTCAAAGGTCTGACTTTACTTGACATGACATGATTAAAATGTTTTGTCCAACTTGTGCTGTATACTTTTTCAGAGTGCCACTAATAATTCTTTTAATTCAGTCACTGAACAGAGTCTGTGTCTAGTCTTTAAGTGAATGCATTAAAAATCAGTTAAACAACTGCAGCAGAAGTATGACGTCTGGAAAAAAAGACAAAGAAAAAAAGGGTGACTGTTTGTTCGCCATTTAGGGGAACATACCAGAGTGCTGACTGACAGGTACATAAAAGCAGCAGCTGAGATGAGAGCAAAAATTGAACTAGCTGAGTAGTTTAGATGAATCTATTTGCTGTTATTTAGGATGGGTTAGAAATGGGGCTGGTGGTATTCAGATGGGTTTTGAGTGAAATATGCAAATCATTTATGCACTTTTGATGTGTATTGAATGACACACCTCTGCCTTGTTTGTGTGTTTCCTCTTTTAACCCAGGAGAGGGTCTAGTGAGAAGGAATAAAGAACAGAAAGAAAAACACCAAAAGATAAATTTAAAAAAGACTCCAAATGAGAAAAAAATATAACATGACATGTTGATTAAAATAAAAAAATTTAATACTTCCCATCAATTGCGGTCTTAGAGAACACAGCAGTCTATTAATCTATATCTAGCTTGAAATCTTTTCTGTTTTGAACGTCATGAGTAAGAAGCCAAGGCTATTGTGCAACTTGTTGAGTGTCTGGTAGACCTAACCTTGGAAGAGCCTCTGGCAAAAGCTACAATATAGAAAAGAACTAGATGCTTTGCATGTGAAGTGATAACTTCACGTACAATGGCTGCATAGTTAAATAAGCAGACAGAAGGTCTACTGTTATCAAAAGAACTGGGAGAAAGAGAGAAATGCCACACTTGGAGGTGTCCTCTGTGCAGCTTGTAGGTCCTGACCTTAAAAAAAACGAAGCAAACGAATTACCTGCAACCACAGTAATTTGTCTGCTGCCATTATTTGTTTTCTGATTTTGCTTTTTCATAAACCTAACCATAATTCCCACCTTTTTTATTCTCTAAAAAATTTGCAACTACCTCCAAAAAAATTCCATACAAGCTCAAATCATTATTCTAAAAGAACTTGAAATACAAACAGAAGCTGGAACAGGAGCTTTCTTCATACTTTTAATAGAGTTCCCGTACATTTGATTTCTTTTTTCAATAAAGCAACGTGACACATTGGTTGAAGATGATGCTCCATAGGTTGCCAAAATGCTAGCCCTCTTATCCGCTGTTTGTCAGCTGTAGCAGACAAAAGCTGTTATGATGAATCACAGAGGAATTCCCAACCCAACAGCACAACACCTGGCCCACACAATTCATCAAATATTTTATTGCTTGACACATGTGCTTTGAGAATAGCACTTATCCATAATGGTTATCACAGAGCACATTTCCAGGGGAGCGGGCAAATCAGTGAAATAAAAACGAAGAAAACCTCGACTCCCTAAAGATGCTTTGGAATTTCACAACATAACATCACACATCATCAACACTTCCTGCTTTACCTACCGTCAGCTGAAAAAACAAAAGCCCTCACGAGCTTTTTCACTGGCAAACAATACTGCTTCATCATGTCAGTTGTTACCATAGCGTGCCTTTTGGATATAACAAGAATCCTTATCCCAGTTTATTCAATTTGTATTGTGGTTTTCGCTTATCGAGGCCCTCATTAGCCGCTATTGACTTAGCAAAGCGCCGTGCTGCGCTGAGGGGATCGGAGCCGGGAGGCTCCACTCCTGGCTCCACTCCTGGCTTTGAAATTATCAAAAGAGCTGTACGGTGAGTGAGAGGTAAGAGGATGAGTGATGTCAGAGACGCAAACTCATTCACGTTTAGACACTGCCTGAGACACAGAGAATAAGAGGCAGAGAGAGCAATCTGAATGAAAGAGGAAGTTTCTCATCAAGGCATCGGTTGAAAACAAGTCAGAGACTGCCAAGAAAAAAAGAAAAAAAGCAGCGAGACCGAGGAAGTATTTAGGCTGGGAAAAAACAATTATTTGAGGAATTTTTTAGGAGATGGAGTGCTGGTTTCCAGCATATTTGAATATTGTTTTGACAATAATGTCAAAAGAAATCCTGATGATGAGAGTTAATAATGGTACTTGTCTTGTTAGTTAGTCCATTTGCATCAATAAAATGTTTAAAGTGCACCGTTTGGGGCAGTAACGTGGGCTGCAGAATGTACAAAAAGACCTGCGTAGTGTTATGATATCAGTTAGTATTTTTACAAGACCTGGGTGTATTTGCAGTATTCGCGTTCAGTATATAAGCTGCAGCTTTCTGATGCTCTTCCCAACATTGCAGCATATTGCTTTCAATATTTCAATATGCAGTGAACATATGATCATCCAGCAGTGACAGCTGACACATTTTGTTGCTCATCTGTCCTGTTGTGATCGATCCATATTTGCATTTGAGCAGCTGTTACTGCTACCATCACCTATGATGATGATGATGCATACATTAAAAATCTGTATGGATATAAAATATGAATCTATCTTTGGTGGTTACTTTTACTCTTTCACATCAAATCAATTTTACATTTACTGTAAAATTGATGTGATGTCTTGACAGGCCACAAACTGAGGCCTTACCTATTCTATTAATTTTAGATAGTCTCAGTAAATTTGCAGGAGTGACGTAGCAACCAGAGACTATATAAACCGAACGGCACTTCCCTACAATGGCTACAGATAACTACTGGCACAGCGAAGTGAGCGGGACCATAGATAAACTTGCAGGCAAGCGACTGAAGCGACCACCACTGAAAACGCAGGATACCACTAATTAACATGTGACCTTGTAGTAAATACATTAGAGGGTTACCTGGGTAGCCAGATACCAGCTGTCAGGTTTAAAGTACTGCACGACAGGCAAATCAGTTCTAGTCTGGATGCAGCTTTAACTGTGAAAAAGGGAAACTGTGCATTATCGTGTTAGCACTATAAACAGACAATGATATTGTATGTGTTCTGTGTTATCAACCTCCTCTGCTACATACTGTAGTCAAAACACACCAGCTGGCATCAAACATTTGTAATGCCAAATCGATGCTCAGTTCAGGATAGACAGATGTTGTAGTCAGACTGCTCCAGATGTTTCAAAGTTGAACCCTGTAGCCCTCATTTAAACAGCTGGCTGGCACTGAAGGTCAGAAAGAATAATTTCACACAGGAAAAGTCACCATCAGAAAGTGCCGTCTGAAAAGTTTTATATTGTATATCTATATCTATACACCTTTATAAATCATGTAAATCTGCATTACTAAGCTGTCTGGTAAAGGCTGTTAAGCAAGCCTTGACCCATCATGAACTGACCTACCAATTCTGATAGCACAAATGATCCACTATTGGCGTGGGAACTTGATCCATCCAATTGTTTCCAGAGCATTGCAATAGACCCTTCACAACAGTAGATTTCTGCTGAAGAAAGGCCCTCTTTGTGTGCCGCTAATGCGAGGGACATACAGTTGCTTAGCAGACATTCTTGCTGAAATCATAAGACATCTCTAGCTTTGTGTCTCCATGCTTAGTGAGTGTTAGGCACGGACACAAAGGTGAGGAAACTTAATGTGGCCCCTGGTAATGATTTCTGCCCGACTGCCAACACACTGTACATAAAGCGTGAATGACCTTCTCTGTCATACACGAGAAACATGTTTGATACAGACTGATAAAAGCGAGAACCAGAGGTCTTTATGCAGCCCGTCTCTCTTTCTATCTGTTTTACCATCTTTTTTAACACAAAAGTGCAATATTTAGAGTCTGCCCTCTGTCCGGGCCGACTCAGTGATAGTCA